CTGTGTAATGTTGGAATCTTAAAGTTCTTGGAGACGATTGAGTCCGGACAGACAGAGTATCGTTTCATCGATTGTAAGGCATATGTCTGATGATTTCAGCTTTATGAGCGTGATGTTTTGAGGTGTTAGTGTAATGATTTAATTTGTAATGTTAAGAGTTGCTTAGGGACGTTTAGTGTCCACGGAGACAGCGGTATCAACAGGAGTACTCGTTACGATTGTTGTAGACGATAGCGTAGTAATCAGGCTGTTCATGCCTCTATAGTGAACCCGGCTGTGTGACGGAGCGAGCCGACAGGAGGGGAAGAGGGGATGTACGCTGATGTGGACGGGTAGCCGACTGTAAGTAGCTTGAGTGCTTGACTTTTGAACGAAAGTCGGGGGCGTGTGCAGCGCCGATGAGGGTGCTGCAGGTGGGTGTGGCGAGTGGTGTGGGATCGATGTGCGAGACATGAGCTGTTTTAGGTCGGAACGGAGGATGAGCAGTTACGCGTGACCGCTCAATAGAGAGAGGAGTGGTGACTTGTAAGTGAGAGAGACCGAAATAGCGGTATTCGGAGGACAAGAGGAAAGAGTAGCTGCATGTACTCTCACGTCGCGGCTTGGCAGGAGAGCGAGCGAGTCGAGGCAACACTAGAGGACTCAGAGATGAGGCGCCACAGGCCCACTGGAAACTAAAAGTTCACCGACCTCATTGAGGCTTCCACCCCTTTCAGAAACCGCCAGATGTGGGGAGCTCTTCTACAGTCGACTTGTGCAATGTTTTGATTTGTTTTACATGACTATGCACTGCAACATTTGTTTTGTTTTTGTAATTTTACTTGTTCGAAATAAAATCAATCAATCAATCAATATATCGACAGCTACCTTTGCTTCTCCGAGGTTTCCCAGTCTGAAGTGAAGAGCCCCGAGGTTGTTGAGGATCTCGGGCGGCACGTCGGCCTGCACCTTCTCCTGCAGGATGCGGGTGGCCGTGCCGTACGCAGACAGCGCTCCCTGAATGTCGGTCTGCTCCAGGATCTGAGCCAGCTCGATCCACGCCTCCACGTCGTCTGGGTACTGCTCCGTCACCTTCTTCAAATGACCCTAGTGAACAGAGACAGTGACACTTTTAGAGCTGATTCCAGACACATTTCCGAGATACTAGTGTAATGTAATGTCTTAATAAGCTGCTATATTACAAAAACGATCAAATATGCTGACGTACTTTGGCGATGTCTCTTTTGTCCTGATCGTCAGATGTCGCGTAGAGAGACCCAAGGATCTTCATAGTTTCATAGTTGTTGGGGTAGGCCTTCAAAACCTTTTCGAAGCACTGCGCAGCATTCTCCTTGTCTCTTCGATACACATACATCTGTCCCAGGCCAAAGAAGGGCAACACAAAGGTGGACGAGGCAAACTGAGTGGCTTGGTAGTAATACTGAAACGCTTGGTCATAGTCCTCCTGAAGAGAAAGAGAGTAGAGACATCAGAGACATACAGCGATAACACGGTGGATACACAGTAAGCTGCGTCGGTATCAGTTAGAAACGTACCTGAACGTGGAAGGAGCGAGCTAACTGGTAGCAGCTCTCAGCCTGCATGGCCTCCACCTCTGTGTTGTGGAAAGCGTGAAGAGCCAGATGCTGCACTTTACTGTAATCCTGATAGAAAACAGAAAACACACAGGTGTGAATAACAGTTTATAACACAAACGTAAAGAACTGTGTCTGTATTTCAATGACAAATCAAACTATTGACTACCTTTTTGAAGAAAAAGTGGTTGGCCAGGTGGTTGAGCACCATGGGGTTGCTGGGGTCGATGGTGTAGGCGCGCGATAGGAGCTGCACGCCGTTCTTGATGGAATCGGGCTCCTTGCTGTTGAGCTCTAAAACCGCCAAACCAACGAGAGCTCCCACACATTTTGAGTTCAGCTCCAGGGCTCGACCAAACGCCAAACGAGCCTTCTCCAGTTTGCTGAGCTTCACAAAACAGTGTCCCATTCCAAGTCTTACCTCGGCTGGACCGAGACAAGAAAATAAGAGAAAAGATAGATGAAGAAACATCTGTAACACAACTCGAGTATGAGAACTGTTTTAATAGGAGTGGCATGAAATAGAGCCTGGCTGATATATTAGCCAATAAATACTTATCATAGTTGTTGGCGGTTATGCAAAAAGCCATTTCACCATTTCATAAACATGTAACATTTATATTTGTGGTTGTTTAAATGTGTGATGTTGACTTGCTGGACATTTTGGTATTTTCTTTCATTGGGGACAAAAAAATAACAGGTCATTTTGGTATGGATACAAAAGTGAATTCCAGTCCTGTTTTACTCTATTTATTTCAACTACGTGTTTTTAGATATTGATCATAATTTACCTTGATTTACAGATAAGTTCAATGTTTATATTTCTAAACTCTATCTGATCATAGAGGTACATTTAAAATGTAAAATATAATTCCTCAGAACATAAAGTACTTTTCTCACAGCTCTATACAACCAAATTATAGGGACCTTTGTCCGAGTCAAACAACTCAGATAATGATATCTGGAATCGTCCAGACTCAGACTAATAATGATGATGAAGTAAATACATGGCTCTGTTTTAAAGATGACAGAGGTAGCGTGTGTACCTGGGCAGCCGGGGTTTGTACGCAGAGCCTTTTTGTAGTAAGCCAGTGCTCCTCTGAAGTCCTTTTTATTGAAGGAGATGCAGGCCTTACCTGTTGAACAACAACCATTATTTCAGTAGAAAAATCACTGTGCTTAAGATTAATGTCTTATTTTCTTAATTGTCTTACCAAGCAAAGCAGGGATGTTGTTGGTGGACTGGTTGAGGACGAAGTGGAACTGAGCGTCGGCCTGGTCCATCTTGTCTCCTTCCAGCAGGCAGAAACAGGCTCGTCCCAACAAATGGTTCTAAATGATTAAACAGCATGTTATGATTACTTGCAATGCAAAATTAGGTGGACAGTAGTATTTTTCTCTCATCATCTATTTTTTCCTGACCTGATCATACATGATGATCTTGTCTGCCATCGTGTACAGCAGCGTGGCCTGCGTGATGAGCTCTTTCTTGGCATCTTTGTTTTTCTCTTTACGCGCTTGCTGGACATAATAAGCTGCCAATGTGTCCAGACAGGTCATCTGGTCCTTCTCATGGTCTCTGTAGTCAAGGTTTCCATCGATACGAGCTGCCTCTAAAAGCTTGACAAAATCCTCAGTTTTGCCCTGCTTGAAGTACTCCAACTGTAAAAAGACAGAGTAATGTGATACATGTTAGTTTGTTACCTCAGAAACGGGTTTATTGCCAGGAAGGTTCACACATACGAGGAATTTGACTTGATACTGGTGTTGTGTTCAATTTAATCACCAAGCTAACAAACAGCTATGTTACGACTACATAATATCAATATATATAGTCTTTGGTAGCTTCATCGACTCACCGCCAGAGCGATCCAGATGTGCAGCTGTGTGTGCTCCTGCTTCAGGATACTGATGACCTCGTCTCCTTCGGGCAGCTGGTCAAAGTCAAGCTCGATGACCTGCAAGATACAATGTATTGAATCACTGAGCATCAATGTCTGACAAAATTCTACCTCAATATGCATGCCCATTAGTACATTTAGTGCATTATGACATGACCTTTTCATTAACACCATGTTTTATAAAAAGGTATTTAATTCACTGGATAGGCTAACATGTCATCAGTATTATCCTTGCACCATCGGTTCTAATGATTTGATGGATGTTTTGTCAATTTGTCAACATCAATGCAACTCAACAGCAGCACACACCTCAGTCTGGCATTCAAAACATTATTTGTACTTTAATGATTGCAACAACTTATATTATTAATAAACATCCAACATGTTTCATTTGATATAGATAACTTTAATAACAGAGTATGGGTGCAATGGAGAGTTAGGATAATGACTGATGCTGTTGCATGTTAAAATACCAAATAGCTCTTGATCAGATATGGAAACTCATTGAACGTTTTTATTTATTTTTAAATCATTTAAAATGAGCTTTTGGATTAAATGTGAATTGTTTAATTGAGAAGGACAGTGGCAGAAAACATCAAAACAACTGAGCTCACAACTTGCATAAGAGTCTAAGCTCATATTTCTGCTGACAGTAATATAGTTTACTGAAGTAATGTTTCGTTACTTTTGTACCTGCAGCAAAAAAAACAAAAAAAATCACTGGCATCTAAGATTCGGGTTAACTCCCAGATACCTTAATATCTCACTATGGGATTTATATTCCCGCTGCAGCTAAAGCTAGCCAGAGTTAGCATTAAAGGCTAGCAGCGCAGCGAGGTTCACTTAGTCAACAAATAAAATACATCAAGTTGAGCCGAGTTTTACCTCATCGGTGTCCCGTAAAGGGATTTCGATGGATCCCCGAGACATCTTGGCCACAGTGATATCCACTTTGAGTCAGAATGATTACAAAATATATACAAAATCTCCAACAGCCCGTTGTCTGTTGATGGCTACTTCATGCTTCCGACAGGAAACACACGGTGCAACGAAAATGGTGTCCGGGCAAGTTGATGGGGATACAGAGAGTGTTCCTCCTGGAGGTGAATACATGTTGTCTTTTCCTGAAAACACGGTTAAGAAAATTACTAAGAGATAACATATGTTTATGTAAATATATACAGCATCTCCAGGATTACTTTAGTGAGTTTCTTGAAAACCGAACAGATTCTCTATGAATTTGTAGCTCAAAGTTTCAGCAGCAGAAAATGTACAAAATGTACTCCCATTTTCAAAATCTGGTAGAAATGTTTTGCAGGCTGCATTTTGTTATGTTAAACTGGTTAAGCTTAATATAAATATATTACACTGCTTTATTGTTACAGACTACAGGGATGAGGTGAGGTGGGGGAGGAGGATTGGGAGAGAGGGTGCTGGGGGGGGATGTCAGCTGGTTTTGATGTGAAGCAGTGGAAACAAGCATATGGGCATCTTGGAGACTTCTTGTGTAAACATCACAGTGAGTCAAAGGAAAACATAATGAAATTTCACCTCCTGATTTAGAATTTTACCATCTTATTTTCTTTTCAGAAGAGCTGTCCCGGACTAAGAGGTAACATTTGATCTTTGTTTCTCTATTTAAATTTAAATTTTCATGGCTTGTTATATAATAAACAAAAGCAGTGAGCTAAAATGTAAATACAGACATGATTTAACCATGTCATCTAATTTGTATTAACTATGCAATATACATTGTTAGCATTGGATATTAGTGTTGTGCTCTTCTTGAAAACATGTTAGTCAATCAAATAATGGCTTTTTGGGAGCTAATAAACGTCACATTTTTCAATGTCATTGTAGGATGACACGCACTGCGTCCATGTAAACATGCAAAGCAGTCAGATCTGGAGAGTAGTCATTGTCTGTTTCAATTTTTTTTTTAATTCTACTCTGGGTTTATTGCTTTTTGACCTAACAATGAAAGTAGAGATATGTAAAACATTTGATTTTCATTATAAAATCAGGTCATGTAGAAACATCTCCAGGGATTCAGGAGAAAAAAGCACGATGTCTGACGGCAATGATGGTAAGTGTTGCAGTTACTTTGTTCTTATATCAAACACATATTTACAGAATATTATTTTTATTTACATGTATACTTCTGTGCATAAATATGTGCTCACTAATCTTAAATCAGCTGGCAGTGGAACAAGGGGTGTGCTCGAGGACAATAATGACACAGGAGGATTCTCTGAACATGAACTCCTTGACATCATGTATAATGCCTGTAACACCTCCCACACAGGTAAACAGTAGTGTGTTGATTTGAACAAAAAGACATTGAAATAAGCATATGACTGTGAATCATGGTTCCTGCGTCCCTCTCATCATCAGGAGAGGTGTTGGCCTCCACCATGCTACAGTACCTGCAGACCATGACCACTCAGAGTCCGGAGCAGGACCGTCTGGCGGCCCTGCGGCGGCTACTCGACCCGGACTGTCAGGACCCTCATGTGAGCAGAGAGACTTTCCACTCCATCATGAGGGAGTGGATCGCACAGTGCAGCCAGGACAGGTGAGACACTCATCAACTGGTTCATAACTTAATCTGGATTTAGAAACTACCTTTAAAATAATTGACAACCTTGCCATTGGTAAACGTTGTCCTCTCAATGTGTTCCATTTGGATTAAATACCTGAAAATCTAGAAGACGTAAAAGCATCTGTACTACTGTCATATTTATAACAATCTTAATAATCTACATCATGTTGTAAAATGAAATCACCAATACATTTCACAAAGAGCAAAACATTTCAGAGAATATAACAATGTAACAGCTGTATAACAATGTGCAACATGGATGGATTTTTAAAGTCTATATTTCGGGTTCACCGTGTTACTTATTTCTCAGAAATCACTTTCCCTCCCCTCCCCTCACATTTTCTAGCAATATGTCAGTGATAATTATTGTATAAAAAGTGTTTTGTTAATTCAATATTTTATTAATCAGCATGTTGTATTATGTGGGAACTAACCCTAACTCCTCCTGTGTTTCAGTTCTGATTTGGACAGCACTCATGTATCTTGGCCTGACTTCTCTAAAGTCCCTGTAAATGGTAGGCAGTTATTTTGTTCACACTTTTGAGAAACACCCCAATCACATTAAACAATGTTTTTAATAAACCAGATTTTCTTTCAGGACTGGATTTCTCCGCTGCCTCTCCAGAAAGCCACCAGTGTCTATGGTTTGTTATCTCCCTTCTTTAATCTCTGCATGTTACCTCCTGTAATCAACGTGTTGTCGTTCTTCACCACACACTGTTTGTTGCTGCAGTGATGGAAAAGACCTGTTGGGCACAGTGACTGAACTGAAGCACGCTCACAGAAAGCTGAATGAGCAGAACAGCAGCCTGCTGAGGACGGTGGCTCAGTGTGAAGACGTGAACCTGCAGCTCTCTCTGGAGGTCACTGAGCTGCGAGCAAAGCTGACCAGGTGAAGGATTAATACTTTCATGTTCTTTAAATTAAAGAACTTTCTTCATTCATTTAACTCCAGTAACAGTTTGTAGGATTAAACTGTGTATGTTGACCAAAGCACATTATTTCTTGTAATCCTTATGGTGTATACTTCCCTCACAAACCGTAACACTAACTATCATCTGTAACAAAACAGAGAACAAAAATGTACGTCTTACATTAAAGATCCCACATACACAATGAAGAAACCTGACACATTTGAGTGAAATTTCTCTAAGCTACTGGCAGATCAATAGTAAAATAAATCAAATCATTATCTACTACAAATAAAGTGAACAATTTATACTACAGCAAATTGACGAAAAAACGATTTGATCAGTGTCTCTGCCTGGCCATCTCTTCTGTTGTGCACATAGTTTAAAAAACGTAAACATGAAATGGTATTTTTATACCCTGGCCTGTTATATTTTATATTGGTATTGACTTGTGAAGCTTCCAAACAATATTATGTTATAAAACCAGACCAAAACAATAACGATGTAAAGAAAGTTTCTTATAAAGAAACTACAACACTTAACTTCTCCAATAACTAAATACTTGTTCAAAACCAGTATAAAATCTCGGTTCATACTCATATTTGTATATTTGGGTGTTTTGGTTGTGAGTAGAGGTGAATAAAACAATAAGCTGTGATGTGTTTCTGTTTGTGGTGTGCAGTGCTCAGCGGTCAGCAGTGAGAGCCAGATCCCAGACAGAAGAACTGGAGGAGACCCGCCGGGCCTTTAAAGAGGCTCAGGAGAGGGCCAGCCGCACCCAGAGCAGCTGCACCAAACTGGTACGACACACAATGAACCATCTCCCAGTGACCTTCTCAGTTACATTTTTCATGGCAAATATTTAAATGTAAATCTATTATCATTTTCAGAGCAATGAGATTGAATGCCTGAAGGTTCACACCAGGAGGCTTGAAGACAAGGTAACGTAGATCCTAATGTACGTCCAAAATGTATAGCACCTTGAAGTTGTTTTGTTGTTATTCGCTAACAAAGGATTGGACAGCAACATTTCAATTGTAGACCGTTATTCTCCACATTTTCTTTTAACATAATGATCATCTGTGAGGTTTTAGTTACCTGCTGCAGAGCACTCCTCTCCTGGGCCTTGTACTATACTCGCCAGTTTGTAATCTTCTCAGTAAGGATGCTTTCTATACTGCTGCTCTACAAGTTAACTTTAACTTGGCAGGGGGACTTTTCCGTCATGAGTTTCCTCTCGCAATTAAGTTGTTTCTGAGCTTTCTTAACCAAGGTAGTGAGATGTGAGAAAACTATGTCTGGTTGTTTGTGAGGCTGATTCCCAGGAACCATAAACTGTTTACTAGCTTAACCTTAACTATTACTCTACTGATGATTTGCTCTTGATATGAATGCTCATTGCTGTTTCTAATCCAGTGGATAATGGATCTAAAAAAGGGTGATTGTTTTTTCCTTTTGTCCTCACAGAATGAGAAACTGACCTTTGAAAGGACGTGTTCTGAAGATAGTCTCAACAAACTCAGGAAGGCCAACACTGAGCTGAGGGTAGGAACAGATCAGTAAGACACTTTAGTGTTTGTGTTTTAATTGAGGTTTAAACATCTAAATGTTCACAGGCCGAACTTGAGGAAACCCTGGTTATGTTGACGCTGAGAGACAGAGAAATTGCAAAGGTTGGTCTATCTGGGTATTTTCACCATAAAATATCAGTCAACGTTTTATTTTGTCTCTTAACTTTACCTTCAAATGTTCCTGTGTAGAAAGACATTCTCATGGATAAGATGAAGAACTATCACATGGAGAATCACAGCATGATTGAGGTACGTATTTGTCCTAGAGTAAAGACAAACCAGCTGCATTTGATTATGGTTCTCTATGAGAGGGAACAAATGTAACCTTATTTGACCTCTAATACCATTGAGTAGAGGAGAGACATTATGTGAAATCATGAAAAGAGGAAACTAGTATTAAGCATGTCAAAGTTAACCAAAGTTATCAGCTTCCTAATGCGAGAATTTAAAACAAAACTTGATTTATTTTTGGCAAAGTTATGAATGTCTGGAATTTCCTTGTTTTATTAAAAGGTTCCTGCTGTTCGTGTTGTTCACCACATAAACTGTGTTCTGGTTTTGTAGGGTCTGCAGTCAGAGATGGTTAAGTTACAGAACCATTCACACCAAGTTATTTTGAGGTACTAAACATGTTCACATCTGCATTTCTTCTTCAAAACTAACAACACTTAAAGGTCACCTATTATGGAAAATCCACTTTTTCATGTCTTTTATACATAAACATGTGTCCCCTCTGTGTAAAGAGATTCTGAAAGTTTCAGGAAATAAGATTGGCTCACTTTTTGTCCTGATCCATTTATATAAAAAGTTAAACCTGTCTGAAAATGAGCTTATCGGATTTTGGCGACTTTATGATGTCATAAAGATTTTTTGGCTTGATAACCCATTGCCAATCACCAACAAGAACACCCCCCCCCCTTATCACCTGAATCTCCTCCTAGAGCACCATTGTGTTATTTTTAACCAAATATCTCTCAGAGGGGCGTGGGGAGTGGCTTCTTATTTCCATCTAAAGTAACAGACAGAGAATCAGCACTTTTGAAACAGGGCTGAAACAGAGGGGATTATGGGACGCTACAGTGCATGATCTGTTTGGTATTTCGAGCCAAACACTTCAGAGACATGTTTGTATATATCTGAGACCTATAATATATTGATGAAAAACAGTATAATAGGGGACCTTTAATGACCCATTAAAACACATTTTACATAATTTAAAGAACATTTCCACACAATAGGCACACAATTGTTTTCATCTAATGCAACACAAGTGAGGATTTTCCGTCTGTTCCTGGCAGGTATGACAGACACTGTATCAGTCCTCAGAGTCTCTACGGCCGAGACCCTCCAAACCACCGCTCTCTGCAGAGCGAGATGCACGATATGCAGCAGGTAGAAGCACACGCTAAACTGCAGGTTATCTTTACATGGTGCTGATATTCCATCTCATGTGTCCGTTACTGCCCTTTGTCTGCAGCAGCATCACGACTTAAGCCTCTCGTCCCTGCAAACACACAGTGATGATATTCAGAGCATCATCCACAAGATCAAGTCTGCAGAAATGACTCATCTTCTGCACAATAAGTATCCTGAGAGGGTGAGGAGAGAGTCAAGAAGATGATAATTATGACATGCGCTAACATGTATGTGTATAAATCTCTTTGGTGTCTTCTCTCACACGCAGGACTCCGCTCCTGTAGAAACACAGGAGAGGCCTCGTCCTCAGCGCCAGCAGCAACAGGCAAGCATCAAGCAGCAGCTTGTCAATGTGTATGTGAGTTTTTTACCTCTCTTTCTCCTGTTATGGTAACAGACTGGATTTGGTTGATGTTAGTCTCTGTTCTTCTGAGAAGCTTTCTCTGGCTATTAAAAGAGGGTGTCTGGTTTTTTCAGTGTATTTATGGGCATCTCCGTTACGCAACCCATAGGATTTACTATCTTCTGCGTGTTTGACTCAATCGGGCATAAGTGCAGTTTTAGTACCCCTTGGTAGCTACAGTCATAACAACGTGTAAAAGAGATGTTTATAAAGCTGGGATGGTGGTTTCAGGCTGCAGGAGCTGGAGCTGCAGAAGTGTGTGTGGGAGGAAAGAGGGGAGAAGGTGGAGGAGCGGAGGAGAGCCTGGGAGAAGGAGCAAAAGCAGAGCCAGACGGAGAGCCAGACTCAGATGCAGGACGCCAAGAAGGTGGCTGTGGTTAACTGGTGGAAAGCCCACAGCGTGGAGGGGGCTAAGGCCCGGACCAAAGACCCTCAGCCGGGCCGGGAGGTCTCCGAGACACGAGCAAAGCTTCAGCAAGCAGAGCAGACCATCAGTGATATGAGGGAGCAGATCTGCCTCCTGCAAGCTTCTGTAAGATCTGCACAGGAGTGTGTCACCGAGCTAAAGGACCGCAGTCTTTATATCAACAAGGGAACCAACACTGAGAGAGAGGAGCCAGGCAGAGCCGCGGAGAAGGTCGTGAAGGATCAGAGGGATGCAGCCGTGGCCACAGAGATTACAGGTGGAGCTTCAGAGCAGGAGCAAACCCAACTCAGGGCGACCGCAGACGGCCTCCTGAAGACGCTCAGGAGGATGGAGGCCATGGTCAACAGCGCCCTGGAGACGGCTGAGCTGGTGAGAGAGAGCGAGCAGAGGGTGGCCCTGGTGAGAGAGAGGATGGAGAGCATCACCCTGAAGGTGGGGGAAGCTCTGGAGCGAGCAGCCGACTCTGACCAGAAGCTGAACAATCTGGAGGCCAAGAGCGGAGAAAAAGATCAAACTCAGGTTTGTCCCTCTGTGTTAAATATCTAGGTTTGCTTTCAAGAGAGTAACAGAGACATTTAATTATACTTTTGATTTTATTCTGAAATATCAAGTTTAAAGTACAAGTATGTTGATCTGAAGGAATGAATGCCTGGACTTATTATATTATAATTTTAATTACAATTTTAATCAAATAGAGCAGAAAAGTTGATATGAAACCATCAAATTACAACAACATTTAACTTATGTGGAAATAAAACCTGCCAGAATAAATCATACTGACTTTGAGTTTAAGAAACGATAGTCCTTAATAAATATAACAATGTGTTCTCTGAGCAGCAATTTGGTAACACATCTTTTTAACATTAAAATAATAAATATTGTTTTGATAAAACATAAATTGTGTTTTACCATTTGCATAAAATCCTGTGACTCATTAATATCAAATTATTTTGAATCCCAGCTTCTCTTCACAAGGTGCATTTTGTCATCAGTTCAAAAATGTATTAATTTGTGTGTGTCATTTACATTGAACAAGGAGCCAAACTATGCAGTGTTTGAAATAAAATAGCAGATGGCCCCCACAAGGGGTCACCTGACGGGCCCTCATGTTGGGAACAACTGTTGTAACGAAGTGTGCATTAATAGAGGTTTAAAGGAGCTTTTCAATGATAACATGAAGTATTTGGCCCTCAAACAAAAGTAAATAAGACTTAGACATTACATTTATAGATTGAATTGGTGTACTTATTAAAGTACTTATGTAATAATAGTGATTTCATATGTTCAGTATAATATGCATTTGAGCTCTTTGACAGTTAAACATATGATGTTTAGTTTGATGTAAGGCAATAATCAAAAAGTTCACTGTGTCTGTACTTTTCTCAAGTCTCCAGGTCTCAGTGTACCAGCTGATCCTGGAACAGACGTCACTGTCTTTAAGGCTGAGTCTGACGTGGAGCCTGCAGGCGGAGGCGGGGCTCCTCCATCTCCTGTGATCCCAGGAGTCAGTGAGCCTCTGCAGCTCCCCATGAATGGTAAGACGCTGCATTACAGTGTTGTCACGGTTATGGAGAACACTGTGGGATGAATTAAGGCAACTTCCTTTTCATATGGTAACCCCTCAGGATGTCTGAAAATAGACACAGACTATATTTACACTGCACACAACAGCTGGTACAGTGAGGAGGAGGAGGAGGAGGAGGAGGAGGAGGAGGAGGGAGAGAGAGAATGAGCTCTGAGTTATTTAATAAAGGGGGCCATGGGGAAAACTAGGGGAACCGAGAATGTTTTTTTATGTAAACACATGAGGATAATAATTTTTAGCTACATCGCTTTTTCACTTTGTTTTTGTGAGTTATAGTTTCCATTGTGGTTCAGCCCACTTCACATTTACATCTGAATTTTTGAAACCGATGAGAAATATGTAAAGCACTTAAGGCCCAGCATTCAAAATGTTACCTTTTTTTACTATTTTTATACAATTGGTTTGATCTAATACTATTATTAATACATATTAAATGAAAACAGTAAATTGCATACAGCGCCCATACACTGTGCCCTAGCTATTGTACAGAATAACTAATAACAGGTATATCATTCCAATGTACACTATTGGACAGTAACAATTATTCAGTTTCAAGGGATTAGTAAAATATGTATGAATAAAAAGTAATAGCATAGCAATCGAAATGTTAATGAATTCATTGTATAAAGGAATACGAACAACTTCGAGCCCATTTTCTTCTGATAGCAAGTTTTGATATAGTTTAATATATTAAGGATTCTTATTTTGCTTTATTGATGAAAGTTGTATGCATTTTTTCTCATCTTCTCATCTCTTAACAAAATAATGAATATGTATATTTGGGAAAATGTCAAACTATTCCATCAAAGACATTGCTAAGATCAATTTTATGGAAAAGTTAACTATTTTATAAACTATATTAAACTGTTAGTTACAAAACATTGAAAACACAACGTCTTCAGAGCCTTTAAACTAGCCCTTTGGGACTCCTTATTCTGCTCATGTTCCTCCGAAGCTGCTGGCTGCCCAGCAATCATTTAGCCATTTCGGCACATATTTCCCAATACTCATCATGTTGAATTACGTTCTTGGTCAATTGAAGGGTCATTATTTTCCTAACTCTTCAGGAAAGGTCATGGCACATATTTCCAAAATCTGCTTCCCTAAGAAAGAGTTCCTTGATGGCTCAGAAGGCCGAAGTCTTATACTGCATGTTATTGTTTATTTTAGAAGAGTTTGGAGCATGTTGAAGTTGCTGAGAACCAGTGGGTGGCCTCAGAGCGGGAAATTATATTTTATATGAACAGACAGTAGTCATCTTCGTGTCTGCTTGTTTGTTTATTTTATGGTCTTCTGTAATAAGTTCACATTATCCAGTGAGCTTTGCTAACCAAATGAAGCTGCAGCCACATCACGAAAAGCTGCAGCTGGCTGACATTTTATGTTTATGACATTGCTGTCATAAACTTTGATATTTACACTGTCAGTTTGATGATACTGTACATCAAGACGTAGACGGTGTATGGTTGAATCAAGTCATTATGAATGAGAGGAAGGTTTCATTTCATTTCGACAACTCCCCACATACAGTAGCAAGCTAGCAGTTAATATTACCTCAACAATACTGTTCTTTAATCATTTTTCAGGGAAAAAAAATGTTACCTAGCATCAATATGATTTAAAAGTGCCAGATGTCACCCAAAGGATTTACTTGTTATCCCTGCCCGCCTTAATGTTAAAGCTGGAATAGGCAACTTTGGAGAAACCTCCAATAATCCTAGTCCCTCACTCTAGGCCAGGGGTGTCAAACTGAAGGCCCGGGGGCCAAATCCGACCCGCGACTTCATTTTATGTGGCCCCACAAGAGCTTGCAAAGATAATATGTTTATTATACGGTTACATGCTCCTTTACAGAAGCACGTTGCCCATAAACGACATGTCCCACAATACATCTAAAATTTGACTTTTTCTCAGAATTTTGCCTTTTTTTTCTTCAACATATGCATTTTTTCTCAGAATTTGACTTTTTTTCTCAAAATATGCCTTTCTTTTTAGAATTAGCCATTTTCTCAAATATTACTTGTCACTTCTCTTTTTCAAAATGTCACTTCTTTTTTTTGTTTTTCCAGAATGTGGCTTTTCTTTTAAAAATCATATTGTGACATTCTAACTGAAGAGACTTGCAATTATTTGCCCTAGACTTCTGCTTTCAGACGTAGGCAATTATGAAGTTGCCCTATCCGATAATAATCCAATGCAGAGGCAATAATGTAATAATACATTATTTTATATATATTCAATATTTATATGTGTTTTTATATAGTCTTAAAGTTACAACCGGCCCTTTGAGTGCAACCATAACGATGTGGCCCGTGATGAAATTGAGTTTGACACCCCTGCTCTAGGCCTTCAATGAAAAACACACGTACACACTGGCTGAATACAGCAAGTGAGCAGTTGGAAGAGCAGCGCATCGCTAACCACATCTAACTACCTACGCAAATAACAAAACATGGCTATTGCTACTACTATTACAGCTGCCAAATTAGCATGATATATTGGGAAATGTTGTCTGCCGCACTTTGAGATATTCAGGTCACATGCAAAGTGTGCACTGGCAGAGTTTTCGCAGATACGTGACTAGGCAGGTAGACAGATAAACAGGCAGTCCAATCATTTCATACAGTCCAGATAAAAAGATTGGGAGGGCTTATAAAAGTCCTGCAACAGACACCAGAAATGTATCTTTGTTTTAACAGAGCATTTGATTTATTGATTGCTGTCTGGACATTTAAAGAAAAAGCAAGACAAGAAGCAGACAATACACCATCTAAGCACAAAGGTTAGGATAAAGCATAAATAAATAAAAGAAAGAAAACTAACAAAAGCAGTTATAAAACAGATAGGCTACTAATGATACAAATGTAGCATCAAATGAACTACCAGCATAACACATTCAATCAGTCTTGATCAAAACTAAAAGCAACGCTCGCCATTCTGTCAGGCTTTAGGCACTGCTGGTGCTAGAGCTAAATGCTAACGTCAGGGTGCTAACATGTAACAATCTGATGATGTCAGTGTCTGCACCTGGCAATTTGTATTTCAGATGCCATCTAGAGTACTAAGAACTCTGCCTTAATTAAGGCTGTTGAACTCCTCTTTATCTGTCTTACACTAGTAAAACATTATTATGAGATATTAAATCCACTCTACTAACATAACAAGGTTTTATGTTGCTGTTTAAAAGAAGAAGAAGTTGTGTGATAAACAAAGGTCCATGGAGACCGAATGTAAATAATTTAGAAAAGCAGGGGGTCTGTGATACCTTGTGTGTGTGTGTGTGTGTGTGTGTGTGTGTGTGTGTGTGTGTGTGTGTGTGTGTGTGTGTGTGTTCGAGAATCCATAAATTACAGAAAGGTGGAAATACCAAGATATACTGTAGCTGGATTGCAAATTTAGTTGTGCTGAGGTTGAACATTTCTAGTGGAGAGAAGTGTAGAGAGAAAAAAGTTTCCGTCATGAAAATAAGGATGAATTATGAGAAAGTGTAGAAGAAGCTGCCAAAAACACTTCAAAGAATCTGCTGTACATGGTTATCACATTCATTTCTCCATGATCAATTCGTTTTTAATTACCGTCTGACTGCTAAAAGCTGTTTACCTTAAAAGTTTAATTTGTGCAAAAGTCAAATGTTTTTGAAATTGCCCAACCAAAGCTATTTTTTTGGTTGTTTTAAAAAAAAATCTGCATCCCCTTATCCTTGAGTATTACTGGTTTATTTAATCACCAAAGTGTGACATTGCTGCACAGCTCTAATGGTGCTCTACACAAAGTCACTGGTGTTAAGCCGTTTGCTCGGTATCACAATATCTCCAACCTTTTCCTAGAGCAGATGACACAATAGCCTTAACTTGGGCCAAGAGCTTTCAACCAGCGGATCAAGCACCTCATGTATTTGAGATGGTTGCCAGGTTATTGTTGCCCCTGGTAATAGAGGTGGACAGGGGGGTTGAGATACTTCCTGAAACAAGAATTACAGTAGTTCAGCAAATCAGATGAATATCTTGACGCAAGTATCAACCACACAGGACCGATAAATCCCTTTGTGTCTTCCCCTTTGTCTTTTTTTCATTCTGTTTCTCTGACACCCCCTTTTTTAAACCGTCTCGTGAAATTTGCATTGCGCATGCTTTCCTGTTAAATGCAAATCAGCTGTTTTCACTGTGTGTCTGTGCTCTGACTCCAACAGGTGGCACAGGACGAGGCGGCTGCAGCGAGGTAAGACTCCCTCCTGCTCCACAGCAGTACAATGTGATAAATATGATCAAATATTTAGTACGTAGAGGCAGGACTCCATACCTGATGTGTTGCTTGTTTTTGTGTCTTAATGATTTAGGAATAACTTTATATTGACATTCTTACAATAACCAGCCCATGCTAAATAATCCACCAACTGAGAATGTATATGGAGTTTATAAACAATGAGTAAATGCTTTATAGCACATTGTTATTTAGCTGTAAACAGATATAAAGACTTTGTAAGGTACAGGTTGTTTTTGCTCTACTGGTGATCATCTCACTACCTCTTTTTTGTGTGACTCACTTGTGAAATTACTTTATTGTACAACAGTTAAAACTATCTTCACCTCAACCAGCTGGTAGCCACAACAGTCAAACAATAAGATTACTTTTACTTTTGATACTTTAATTACATTTGGATCAGAATACTTCACTTCGTTCTCAACTAAGCTTTTGAATGCAGGGCTTTTACTTGTCAAAGAGTATTTAAAACAATATGTATTGCTAAAACAACACAACTTCAATGTCTAAATTACTTAAAAGAAAATCTTCCCTCCAGTTGAACTCAACAAAAAAACATCTGACGTTTTGCACAAATTGTTTCTTTGATTAACTTTTTTTCTCCAATTTTAGCACATCAGTTTTTCAGCTCGCATTAATGCAAACTGTGATGCTGTAATTCACTGTGAACATCAGCTGTGTTGCTCCAAACAAAGTGACTCTGTGTGCTGTGCTCTTTATCCCCCACAAAAACCAGGATGATCACAGCACTTACAACCCAAATCTCTCCGCACTAAAAAGTAAAACGCAAACGGTGCAAGGTTTGACAATGCAGTTTACCAAACAAATATAGTCAACCTCAAGAGCTCAGGAGTGGTTGGATGGATTCCTCTCAGTCCGCAGAGTAAACACTAAAATCTATCCATCTCTCATAAACATGCCCTTTCCTACAACAACACATAAACTAGTCTCCTACTGCTCCCACACTACGATAAGAAAAACAAATCCTGCAGAAGAAAATAACAAACTTTTATAACTTTCTTCAAGATTTAGTTGAGGGATGATCAGTGGAGCAGCAGCCTGAGAACACACACACACACACACACACACACACACACACACACACACACACACACACACACACACACACACACACACACACACACACACACACTCCACAGCAGCCCAAAGAGGCATACGGAGCCCTTCTCCTTAAATGGTCAAAGCTCCCAGGAGTAAAAGAGAGGCTGCTGCTGAAAAAAGACATGCAGGGAACAGAGGGGACGGGAGAAGGAAGCACAAGCCCCGAGGATAGAGGAGATTTCTGAGGAAAAGCCAGTTTGAAAGTGACAGTTTGGCTGTGGGAAGGCACTCTAGGTTGGAGGGATCAGCGGGAGTGAGTGTTTCTCCACAGCGCTGTTGGTAGACTCAGGTAAAGTACGTGCTCTGTGTGGACAGGTTCATGTGATCGGCTGCGTGGAGCTGTGGGGTCTTAGTGTGTGATGGTTTCAGGAGATGCAGGTTCAGTCCTCCTTTGGTGTCTCCGGTACTGCGTCAAACTAGTGCAAGACGGTTATTGTTTACCTTTCAACAGTTGTCGGTCTGACTTGTGGCTGCTGGGGTGAGCTTACATAATGGAGTGTTTGTCTGCAAGTGAAACTCTGTCTCATCTCATCTGTCTTCTCTGTGTGTGTTTCCAAATCAGTGGATTTATCTACTTTCTCATGTGAATGTACATTTCTCTGTGCAACCATTTTTTTCTGTCTTTCTCACACTTCCTCTGTCCTGTTATCTCGTACTGGAGCAACCACTTCCTCTGCTGGCCCTGTACTCCGTGCTTCACACAACCAAATTTTAAACAAATCTGGCAAGAGGGAGTGGGCTTATGTAACAGAGAAGGGGAGGCGGGTGCCGGTCCCCTTGTCTTCCTCGGAGGGAGAAGACAGCTAGGCCTGGCAGCAATGAGAAGTTAATCCTGAATGTAATGGTTTTAAAGGACAAATATGTTTTATTTTAAAGGATGAGTGTAAACTATAAGAACCTCACTGAGGTTAAGGAGTAGTGCAGGGGCTGTCTGTGTTCAGGCTTGTATGTTCTGTCCTGTTCCCCTAACAGGAAACAATCTGAGTGATTCAATTACTCTGCAATATTTATCTCAGTCTCATGGTCTGCTAGGGGGAAACTGTCTGAACCGTCGAGCCTCCTGCACTACAGGATGGCAGCGTTGTTGCAGGATAATCTCCTCAAAGGACTATTGAGCTGCATCTGCCAGGTTTTGTTAGACGTTTTTCCTAAGAAATGGAAAAACCGATAGCCGTGCAAATACAAACTATTTGTAGCACCTCTGATTTTTTTGTTCTCCTTATGTGGCATACATTAGGAGACAAGACAGAGTGTTACAGCTGTGGAAAAAGTCGAGTATTGGCGGAATAATAATAGGGGTTACATAAAAAGAAATTAATATTCAGTAGTTGTTCAAATCAAGACAGGTGGTTGTTACTAAAGCCGCTCTGAACTCCAGGGGCAATTAGGTAATCATGTAAGAAGTATTTGGTGACTCACTCTCGTATTTATATATGCAGTACACACTTGAAGTTGACTTTTGCTCTCATTTGATGAATAATCACAGAAGAAGTAGACTGAGAATACAGTTCACCGGCTAGATAAGATTTTGAGTGTTGATTACTCTATACTTAACACTACTACAGGCTGAGAAAGAGAAGTGGACTTGATGTTATAAGACAGGATTCTTGTAGTCAGGAAATATTCTCGCAGCACGCTGGGGGACAGTTAAACAACCCATTTCCTCCCAAGTGACTCACAGCGGTTCTGTCCCAATATTTTCCCAAGAACGTGTCATGTTTGTGATGACACTGAGCAGCACACTGCATATTCTGGCCCAGTATTCACAAAACATTTGTCCTTTTGTTAAGTGCATGCCGTACCTCTGAAATAACCAATTATTCTTCGCACCGTTCACTTGCCTTCACGCCTTATTCATCATCTGCACCGCCTGCAAAAACATAGCCACGTCTGTGCTGGACATGCATATGTAAATCTTTCTATTTTCGGTAAGACCAAACAAACGTGTGACATTAGCATCCGGCACACTAACCCCTCTCGATCGTTTGTGCAGACAGTGCTCCTTTAAAGGGTTTTGCTCTTAGATTTGCATGAATTTGTTACTAGAAAGGAAGAAGCTGTAACTTCAAACAAAGGTTCAAACATCGGGCACACATAATATTTAACTAAATTAAGTCATCCGCTTTTCTTTCTCTTTAGTTTAACTGCTGCTGAATTGATCAGCTTGATTATTCATTTACTTGATTTGTAAATAGAACAAAAATGAATCTGCAAATTTTGCTCAATTGAATAAATGTTTTAGTAATTTTGTAAGTATCTTTATTTTCAGCGGGAAACAAGATGTTGCTTTGAACGATAAGATGCTAACAAATTATGGATATAGTTCTTATTATCAAAATGATTCCTAAAGACAATAATTGTTGGTTTCATTCCTGAATGTTAGTTTCATCCCTGCTACATATCAATATACCACATATCAGCCTTTGTTTCAGATTTGGGAGATATTTGAACATGGGCAGATTGTCTTTGAGAAATATAATATTTCACCAACATATTATTTGGACAGATGGTGTTCAGATTGCATACATGTCAACATGATCCAGTAATGCTGATCATTCTTGTATAAATATATGAAAATATCTGACTTTGTTTTGAATCTTAGGAACAAGATACATCTGTGTTTCAGTTTCTTCTGTTTAGTGATTGATCAGTTATTTTCTTTTCCCTCATAGCTGAGTGCTGCATCAGCTTGTCTTCTGTTAGGAGTCCTCTGACACTACTCTATATATATATTTTGTTGTACTTTGGCCAATTTGATTCAGTCTCTGGTCTCATCTCTGTTGTTATGATAATACTGTCAGTCTCTTCAACCTCAAGCTTTAATAAATCAAGCTTTAATAAATTCACACTGTTGGTGAGCTAAAAACATTTAGTGTACAGTGATGATTTATCATCTCAGTTATCTTCATGCTTGTGTTACACAACATGCTCTCATACATTCCCTCTGTTAGTTTTACACAGTCCCGCAGGAGCTCAGTCAGCTTGTGAGAGCAGTTACTCTGACTGGGATGCACAGGGTTTTTATACAAATCTGCTCTATTCAGAGTGCTGTACCTGCCTGATTACAGTCCCTGTGTGAGAAGAACAACATACTTACCTTTGGCTTCAGGCTCAGACAAGAGTGATATTTATCTGCGTTTATATCAGTCGTGTTGTAGGCAGAACTCTGTGTAAGTTATTTTGTTGTTCTGCTGAGCATCAATACAAAATGTAAAATTGCTGCTTGTTACTTCTTGGATCTAGGAAAATCATATTTTCAATATCTTAAATGCATCTTTTTCTCTTACATTTTCTCTTACAGTATAAGTACATATATTTACAAAGTTAAAAAGAGACCTGTGACATTGTTTTAAACATTAGTGATGTTACAATTCAGAGTTTCTTACCAAACATCTGCAAAGTTGTCATTACTACTACCACAATCTATATAAGAGGATTGAAATCCAGAAAAGGATGTGGGTTGTGTTGGCCACTATCTGGCATGTGTGCCTGTATAACTAAACGACAAAAACAAAACGGGAACCTACTTGTTAAAACATTGCTCCACAGCGCTTCTCTTGTATACATCTATAAAAAGTTGCTATTTCACATACAGGTGTTATCTCACTGGTAAGGCTTTGAAAGGTCAAAGTTGACATTTTTGGGATTTTAAGTGCAGTACTCTGTGGCAATTGCAAGATGTGCGGCACGTGAAGCCTAGCATTTCTACTGCTCTAAGTCTCCTTGTAGGAAGACAATTTCACTAAGGTGCTCTTTGGTCTTTCATGAATAGTTGCATTTAATGGCATAAATAAAACAAAAATTGATTTATTTCACTAAGGCAAGGCATTAACCAATCTTCCTTTGCTTCTAATGGTGGTGGAGAGAGTGCAACCCACTGTATCTTATTGATGACATGGCTAATTTTTCATTACATTTTTCCATTATGGTTATATGCTTGACTTATATTCTCATTGGAAACAGATTTTCTCTTGAGAGAGTTTTTTTTACTAATGGCCAGAGCTTCTGTTCCAAGACATGGAAATAAGGCTATTATTGGGTTTCCTTTTTTAGCTGTGATCACTTAGAAAAACTTAAGAATCTCTCCATTCATGTATCATTCAGTGTTTTTAGGGGCCCTATTATGGACATTTTGGGGTTTCAGAATTGTATTTTGTGCCTCTGTCTGAAACCAGAGCCTAGTCTGCTCTGATTGGTTAGCTGGCCGGATCTGTTGTGATTAGTCATCCGCTCAGAGATGTCCCGCCCCTTAGCAAATCACGTACAATGTGTTGGAGCTCTAGCCAATAAAAGCGCAAGTGTAACTATGATGATGTCATTATGTTACGGAAGCAAACAAAGGAGTCCAAAGGAGGCATTTCAGGCAGGGGGAGAGTGTGTGAGAGATACACTCCCTGGAGGGAACTTTGGGGTCTTAGCCTTTGCACACCATTTACATGCACAAAAACCTATATACACTACACACTACAGGAAAGGGAAACCCCCCAAAAGCATAATATGGCCCCTTTTAAAGATCAGAAGCTTATGTACAACAACTTCCTGCTGCTCAGAAAGAGTTACTCTAAACTTGTAATGTGTCTTCTCATGCATGACATACATGTGATTGTGTCTTTCTCTGCATGACCCTGCAGCTCCAGGAAGAGGAGGATCACTTCCCGCAGGGATCTCCTCCAGAGCAGAGTGATCATAACCCCGAGAAGTCCTGTGCTGCCCCCTGCCCCGCTGAGAGACCTTTTGTGTTCCCCAGCACCCGCTCACGCCCCCCTCTGCTCCCCACCATGCCCACCCTGCCCGAGGAAGAGGAGGACTCCCCCGAAGAGATGGACAGTTCCTCCAGCTCTCCCAGTACAGTGAGTGTAGCTCATACTCTGTTTTAGGAAAAAGCATGTGAGGGCATTCAATCTGACTCTTAATAATCCATTTGGCTTTGATGAGGAGATTATATCAATTCTACTGAAAGCCTGTCCTTAAAAAAAATGTTTTAAAGTTAACAATGATGCTTTCAGTGTTGGCGTGACCAACAAACACTAAGCTTGAAACTCCATCTTTTGTTAATGTAAATATCATCTTATTACTATCTGTATTCTCAACGATTCATTGGTATTTTACGAGTCTTTGAAGGCCACCTTTCCTGTTCTCATAATGAATCATCCATGTATTTAAACATTTCAGGCACATTTCTGATTTCGTTTTGGGCTTTATAAAAGTTAAACAAATACTTAATGAGCTTTATTTCTTGTTGTAGCGTTGATGTTCACATTGATACATTTTTCTTTTTAAATAATCAGAATTGTTAAAATAGGATCTGGGAACTTTGGCAACCCAATCAGGAGCAATCCTTTCAAATGTTAAGGTGTATTTCACTCAAACACATTTGAATATATTTTGAACCATATCTGGAAGATGGCTCGATATCAGTTAGAGCAATTGACATTAAATATTTGCCTTATTTTGGTAAACTGACCCGATAACAACAATGTAGACAGTATAATTTTGAAGAGGTCGAATTTAGAAGTTGATTTAACAAACTCTTCTTTAGAGAGCAAAGTGTTAACACTCTGAGAACATCGTCTTCTGCCGCAGTCGCTCATAAACACCGAGCACGATATCTGCAGAAAATGATGAAGCTGTGTAATTCAATCTTCAGGGCATGTGCCAAAACTATTAAAAAAATCCACCTTCACTACAGCAGTGGCCTTTGTGCAGCATCACCATCAGAAGGAATCCTTTTATTTGGATTGTAGTGCAAAGATAGGCTGAGAGCAGCTCTTAGGGAATTTCTGTTTGATCTCTGTCTGCTGTTTACTTGACTACCTACCTTATATGGTTGGACCAGGATTTGGGATTTTATGAAACAGGAATTGAACAACGTATAGTTCAAGATGATGTGTAGTCTTAGCTATGTTTGAAACTGAAATTGTTTGTTGCTTAAACTTTGGAAAAAGCAGTATCATTTGTTTTGTGTCTCTGGACAGACAGCCTGCGTTATGTAAGATGTAGGGTCTAGCATTTTTAAGCTTGACCCACAAAAGAGAAGAAGTCTCAGCCCCTGCTGCTTCAGTGTTGACCATTCAATTAAAAATGTGTGTGAGTCCCCATACTTTATGGAAGTGCGAGTTCCTCCTACAAACTGAAGTAAATCCTTACATAAGTTCGTCAAACAATATGCTTCACTATAGCACAATAAATGCATGTTTACTACCTTGTGGAGGAGCTGTTTCTCCAAACCTAGTTTTAATTCCTTTATTAGGCCAGTTCATATTTTTTTTTAATAAAATGCATATTCCTTAACAAACTTGTATTTCATGAAAGTAGAACATTCCTCTAATGCAAGTTTAGCTAGAACCTTATGTCATCTTGGACATGTTTTGTGACACTTCTCAAATATTTTAAAATTATTTTTGTAGTAATTTTCTTGATTATTCTACTCTTTCATTTTTACCTCCAAATATTTGTATGTTATGCACCAACACACCAAAGCAAATGTATTTCCCACTACTTTGCAATACACCGGATTCTGTTTTTTTTGCACAGTCTACACCGAGTCGAGCTGTCGTCATGACAGGCCCCACCATCATCTACCCACAGCAGGCCACTATTGTCCAACAAGATGGACGTCCTCTGGAGCAGACCAGGTAATTGTCTCAGCATCTCAAACACTGAAATAGTTTCTTCTTTTTTTGATCCAAACAGTGACATGTCGTTTCTGTTTCCCGTCAGGCCACACAGTCCCAGATCTCGCATGGCCCGCAACTCCTCTGGAGGACCCATCACCAGAGTGGGTGGGTAGAGACACACACACACACGCGCGCACGCGCGCACACACACGCGCGCACGCACGCACGCAAGCTGGCATTGTGCCGTTGTAATTATATAAGATCTAAGATAACCACAATAGCTATTATTATCATTGGCAACATCTTCTTTAGTCCAGCAACAAATTGAACTCACAGATTGTTGAACTGTATTTAAGTGGACATTTGTAACTTTGTTAAAATGTGTTTTTTACATTCCTTAGAATGATAATTAAAAACAAGTATTGCTCTTATGCTGTGAGGTTACACAAGAACATTGGTTTGGTTGTCAGTTTTATTGGAGAGGAATCTGTCGAGGTGTCCTCCCACATGCCCCACATGCTTTTGCAGCTTTAATTACGTTTGATGATTGCCCTTTTCCTCTCTTCTGAGGAGTGGAGGGGAACAAAACATCACTGACTTGGCTGAACCTCATCACATGATTTGTTGGCTCACAGTCATTTGTAAATGATCCACTGTCATGATACTTTAAACTGTTAAATCCCACTTCATCAAAGAGCACTCAAAGAATTTGTTAAAATCTTGTACTCAAAAGTGTAGATTTGAAAAGTCTTAGTTTCTTTTGTTTTATAAAGCCAAGCAAGCCATCTGGTTAACATCGATGCCTATAACCTTGTGTGTGTGTGTGTGTGTGTGTGTGTGTGTGTGTGTGTGTGTGTGTGTGTGTGTGTGTGTGTGTTTCGCAGACAGCACAGGTAACGTGATCGACCTGGTGAAAGATCCGCTGCCGGAGCTGCAGCTCTCTGAGGAGGATCGACAGAAGAACCTGGAGCTGCTCCAGCAGGCCAAGAAGGTCAGCGACCGATTCCTGACCCGCCGCGGCCGCCGCTCCCTCACTGACTCACCACCAGGTATCACACTCACACACACACACACACACACACACACACACACACACACACACACACACACACACACACACACACACACGTTAAAGTTAATTAAAAAAAGTTCTTAGCATTCTCTGGTAAACTTATTTCCTATATTCTGTTAATAGTAGTTCGTTAAGGATAATGTCACATTCATCTCAAAGTATTGTGTGTTTGATCTTTTTTCCCCACAGGTCTCTCTCCAACTCCAACTCCCTCAACCTCTCCGTGTTCCTCTAGAAGCACTTCATTGACTGTGGCTCCTCAAACTGGTATACAGCTATATACTTAGAGCTTTTCTGCTTATTTTCATTTTATGTTTTGGCAATTTGAGTCTGCAAGAATGTTTTTGTCTACCCTTTCAGCTGTAGGATCTACAGAGGCAACCTATGTCAGCTCACAGTCAGTTGGGCAGGTAAAGAATGATTTATTATCATTAACATTATTAAAGTTGCAACAACAAAAGAGAACCTGCACTAATGATGGGTTGAAATGCTGATATTTGTTATGCATCCTCTTTTTTTCACAATTCTTACTGGCAATGTTCTGAACTTCCCTTTTTTTTAGGTTGGAGTCAAATGTATTGACCACAGAAAATTGCTTTGTTGTCCTCTCTTGTAGCATCAGGAGTTGTCTTCATTGCGAGAGCAGACAGACCCGACAACACAAGATCACGAGGTGAGATATTGTGAACAGACATTATGGATTTGTTTTTGTTCTTAGTGACTTTAGTATCCTCAAAAAGTTAATTCATCTCGATAAAGGAGCTCACACACAAATAATTTTTCATTGTGTTACTTACTTTAAGTGAATGTGTACAGCAGCACTACTCTGAGAGAAAGACAGTCCCTTTTGACCTAAGATTAGCACTATCTGCAGGGAGATAATCCATGAGTGACTTCAAAATGACTTACCTTTAAACACAAAGCTATATTATATGTTAACTACACATTTATTCTGAATGAATTAATAAAAGCTATGACCTTGCTCACCTCAGGGCAACAGGCTGTTGGTGGACTGGAAGCCCTCTGAGAAGAGGAAAGTTTCCTCGGGGACTCTGACGCCTCGTTTTGCTGTTCAGAAGGAGAACTGTGACCCCGCTGTACCTAAGAGTCCTCCAGCAGTCGGTAAAACAGATGAGGGACCTGGTCCAGGCCGAAACCCCAACCAGACCCCAGCCACAGGGGTGGCCAAGCCCGTCCCCCGACCCCCGACTCAACAGGCCCCCTGTACGGCAGAGATCAAGACCATCGGGGCCTTCCCTCCTCTTATGAGGGCTGTTTCCTGGGATACTGTAGGCACCCTTAATTCGAGGAACGGAGCCCCTAGTTTCCCTCCTACAGCGGAGGATACCTTCTCAGACAAGCCCAGGGATGCTGCCTTCAAATCCTCCGGGTACAAGGACCTCCCCGGCCAGCAGGGGAGCGTACAGAAGCTGTCTAAATTCAGAGAGGTAAGACATAGTGGACTGTCATTACTGCTTTTGTAGTCAGAGGCCTCTTCTTTAAGATGATGTGTAAATGCCTTGTTCTTCCGTGGGTGTTTGTGTATACAGGAGCACAAGCTGTTGCGTAACCAAAGCATAGTCGGATCAAAGTTAGCAGACCTGAGTGAAGCAGCTGAACAGGAAAAAGGTAACAGTCCTTGTTTTTTCCCTCTAATCCGTTTAAGAAAGAAAAAACTTCCAGCAGCACATTCAGCAATGTCGCCTAGGATGGGCACTTCCTGAATCAGAGGGGAAATCTGTTCCAGTCAGAAAATGATGATGAGGATCTGTTCTTGTTTTTGTTTCCCTCTGTGCCACCCATTTACTGGCAGCCTCCTAAAAAAGAAATACATGCGGTTTTCACTTTCCATCAGCAGATGGCATGATTGTTAAAGTGTGTGAGCCACACACCACCTGTGGAAGAAGAAATTAGGAGATGATGTATTTTTTTGTAGGTTTAGAAAGAGATAAAGCTGTCTCAAATCACTTGAGACTTAATTAAAAACTGTAAAAACACCTTTTTCTATAAATGATTTATGCAAAAATGTGTCTGCAGGCCCTCCATCTTCTCCAAACTCAGTCAGTAATGAAGAGGCAAAGGAGAAGACTGACTCCATGCCAAACATTTCAGATCTGATGCTGAGAAAACTTAAACTCCACCGAGGTCTACCAGGCTGGTGTGTAACCAACTAACAGCTGCTTAAGTTAACTTTAATTGTTTGCCTTCTTTTCTTAAAAATCTCATCACTACAGAATAACCCTCCCACTTCCTAATATTACTGTACAAATACCATATTGCCATTACTCACCATACTAACAGTTCATCTTTGATTTCATTCCAGTGCCCCCCCTCTCACTGAAAAAGAAGTTGAGGTTGGTATCCAACAGTCTGTGGGTGATCTATACACATCATTTCTGCGTTCATGATTCAAGATTGAAAGTGTAATTTCTGCTTGCATGCTATACTTGATGTTTTTATTTAGCTTCCAGAGAGTTAGAGGGAAAGGTAGATAGAAGCGGGTAATTAGCGCACATGTTATATTTGTTTTTTTTAAACTGTGTTCAATTTGATGTTTTCTGGTGGGGATATGTGCCAGATCTTCCAACTGGTTTTTATACAGGATGCACAAGCGAAATAAAATTGATTAGTGAGCTTTTGAGCAGGTAGGTGATGTTGCACTTGGACAAAGCCAGGCTAAATGTCTCCCCCCCCCCCCTTTTATAGTCATTGTGCTAAGCTACTCTAACTTGTATTGCTTGTTAATTGATTTTTTGCTGTACAGAACAGTATATAAAACCCTGAATAATAGCTAGATACTGATTCAACTAAACTAAAATTATTTTATATCAAAATAAATCCCTTATCTGGTTTTTAATGTGCTACATTCAATGTAATATTCTCAATCTCATTTCCGCCTTCGAAAAACTCCTCAGTAATTAACTGTGCAAAGTCACCATACAATGGGTCATAAACTTGACTGCCAACAATAATCTGTTTACTTTAAGCAGAGTAGTCCCATGTTCATAATAAACTGATTTGTTACTAAGGAAGTTAATGACACCTACGTGCAAATTGCCTGAGTTTAGCGATGCTATCTGAGCAGGAAAGAGTTTTTTCTGTTCCTGATCAGACCTAAGAGTGATTTCCTGTGGAGAAAATGCAAACATTTGTGACGCTGTCGAGCTCGGGCTGCAACCTCTCTGGCTGATCCCTCTGGGAAGCTTCTGGATCAGGACAGTCAGAGGTCATATATTTCCTCTCAGCCGTGGCCCATGTACGTTGGAAATCTGTAGACTGGCTTTGATCAACGCAGCAAAACATCCAGAGGTCAAATGTCAGAATCACAGCTTGTTCCCCATGCTCGATTCGCCCTCACACGTTGATTCCCATTAAGCCTCTGTGTGTGTTTGTGTGGTGCAATATGGGAGGCCCTTTTTTCAATTAATTCTGTCTGATTTATTCCTCTGAGTTGTTGTGCGTTCATTATCAGCATCTCATCTTATTCTGCTATGTAATGTGTCTTTCTGAGTATTACATTGCCGTTTCTTTCTCCCCACAGAATGCATTTGTCCAGCTGTCACTGGCATTTCGTAATGACAACTACACTCTGGAGATGCGGCTCAAACAGGCGGAGAGGGAGAGAAACCTGACGGAGGAAGAGACAGAGAGAGAGCTAGGAGATTTCAAAGGAGCGTTGAAGGTCAGCCCTCGAAAACAGCAGCTGATATTATATAAACCAAAGGAGAGGAATTCCCTCTGGCTCTTTAGGGCTCGTTCATCTCCTTAATGTTTCCTGGAAGTGTCCCACTGTAAATATTTACCTTGTTCGAGTCCAATCCCAGGTGCAAAATGGGACATTGATGTACTCTTAGTTTTCCTGAGAGAGATGTTGTTGTCTTTCTTGCAGGTTTCGTCGCCACAGTGGCAGAACCTGGAGCAGCGTGAGGCCTTCCAGAGATTAATCGAGACGTTAGCGGTGCTGCACCGATTGGCCACGAGGCTCTCCAGCAGATCAGAGATCGTTGGAGCAGTTCGACAGGTGCAGTTACACAAATGCATACCAATGTTAGTGACAGATAAAAAAGAACGCTGCAGTGTGTATCAAAAAAGTGCAAAAGATCAGTAAAGATACTGTCTCCCTCAGGATGTCTAAAGACCAGTTTGTCTGTTTGGCAGCATTTACAAAAAATATTGGGATGTTTTTTATGTTGTCTTGTGCAAACATTAGTGGAGAGAAAATATATTGTTTTTGCAGTACTTAAGTCTTTGGCTATTTATCATCCCAAACCCCTCATTCATTATGGCCTTTCTTTTCGCTTTCCTTGAAACACTGCCCATCTTTTAATAACATTTACGGCTCTATAAATTGCAGAGTAGTTAAGTCTCCTATAACATGTGATCCAGTTCAGCTCACTTGAAGTCCTCTACACTGCAAATAATAACATGGATGTATGCAGGGGTTAAGTTGGGATTTGATATGTGGGGGGGGCTCTGTGTGGAAGTGTGAGGGGGGGGTGGAGGTCGAGGATCTCATTATTTGACCTTAAGGGATATACACTGTGGCCCTAAAGCAACTGCTCCATTATCTGTATCAAATGCACAAATTGATGCCACCAAATGTCACAATAANCGGTAAGTGAGCCATAAGACTCAGGTTGCGAAGATACACGGAGCCACTTTCAGAGTACTATGGTTGCAATTGATCAATTCTACGACCTTAGACACTTCATGCAGGATTTGTTCATTTAAATACGCTCTATAGATTTGACATTGACGAGTCAAGCTAATCAAGATGAGCATGGGTAAATCACAGGTAAATGTTGTGTTGGACTAACTTTCTGTAGATAGTCATACACAGGGGTTAAGTTGGGATTTGATATGTGGGGGGGCTCTGTGTGGAGGTGTGAGGGGGGGGTGGAGGTCGAGGATCTCATTATTTGACCTTAAGGGATATACACTGTGGCCCTAAAGCAACTGCTCCATTATCTGTATCAAATGCACAAATTGATGCCACCAAATGTCACAATAAAAATAGAAAGTACTACAAAAAAACTGGAATTCATTTACATCTTAAATTATTAATATATATTCACAAAAAAAGGTTTACAAATATCCAACCTTCAAATTGCTTTTTTAAATCAACACTGCTCTGCATATATTCTATTGTGTATTCCTTGGATACTTTTATCGGGGGGGGGGTGGGATTTTGTAAAGGAAAAGGAAAATAATCAACTAATAAGGCTGCAAACTTGGATATTGTTGATGAAGAAAGTTGAACAGAGAGACGGATACGTTAGGTACACCAAACCATTAAACCGGGAAACAAAAAAAAAGCCAGTTAATATTGCTCTGTGTCTGCTGGATGTGGTGTTAGGCAGTTAGTACCAAAGAGGACAGGATTCATCTCACATACTGTATATAGTCTTGGTATAGTATTGGGCAACCTTATGTTCATATTAATCCTGGGTAAAAAATAGATTCGGTTTTGTTTAGTTTTTTAAAGTCTCTGTGCTTTGACGTTAATGCATCCTTGTACTGATTACTTTTTATTGCGCAACAGGAGAAACGCATGAACAAGGCCACTGAGGTCATGATGCAATATGTGGAAAATCTGAAGAGGACCTATGAGAAAGACCACGCAGAGCTGATGGAGTTTAAGAAGCTGGCCAACCAGAACTCAATCCGCTACGGCCCATCCGCTGACACTGGAGGTAAGACTGCGCTGCACAGGAACACACAGAGGATAACACTATTTTTAAAGCCGGTCAAGGAAAAATACGTAGACTTTCTTTATGCATCTTTTTCATCCTCATTTGTTGCCTTGCTCTACATGAATATTTTCATCAGGGCACTTTCCACTGTAATTGGAATATCCTAACACTGTGCACTGAGCAACTTCACTGCAGCTTCGGTAACGATATCAGCATGAAATGAATGTTTTTTGTGCTCATGCATTGGTGTATTCTGTGTTTCTTTATAAAGATGATGGAATTCCACGGCCATCAAGATCAATGTCCCTCACCTTGGGAAAGGTAAGCATGCTATTTTTTCAGCGGGATCATTTTGAGTGCTGAAATATATTTGCAGTTTCTCTTTGTTTTTTATAGTTGTTAATTTAATAATAAAAATGATTCGACTGATTCTGAAAAAGTATGCTGATTCTGAGTTATCCTTTCAACTTGAAGTCAGTTAAAACAAGACATTTTTGTGTGTTATCATGTCATATAAGTAAAAGTCTCAGCCATGACTCTCTAATTTGCTCAAAACGACGGAGCTAACAAGCTAATGCTAGGCAGGTATAACGTTTACTGTCTTGATTTAGAGTGTAAGCATGCTTACATAGGCACCACGTATTTGCCCCCGTCTTGTGTTCAAAGTTATTTTGAGTTTCCTGTACAATGTATGAAACATGCTCTTCTCTCAGTGAGTTCACATCTGAAATGTATATCTCAAATCATCTTATTTCCACACTGACACATGTTCTGCCTCCCTTTCACCCTTTCTTCACTAGGCTCTACCAAGACGTAGGGTGAGCGTAGCGGTGGTGCCTAAGTTTAACCTCCTCAACATCCCGGGTCAGACCCCAGCCACAGCTTTCCCGGGCCTCAACATGGGCCCCAGCACGGGACCCATCACAAGTGCTGCTCTTCCTGTCCTGGTAAGTCTTCCTGTCCTTTCGGGAAATGATAGGAAATTACATATCAAGAATTTATGGTAGTGACACACACTCCGTGAACTGCTGAACATCACTTTTATACAATGGGTTATTTAGAAGTCATCACTCTTGCTTACCAAGGGGTTCACTTAAAGGACAGCAATTCTTATTTAGGTTTTTATTTTTATTTCAAAATGGAAATTTGAATGTTTTTACTTTTTCTCTTTTTCTCTCTAACGACACTTTGGAACTTGGCAAAACAAAACAAATTAAATATATAAAATAGTTAAAACGAGCTCCACCTCCAACAACCGCAACAATTAAGTGCTGCTTAACCATTTATGCATCAGCATTAACAATAATAACATCATATATAATGTTGTTGCAGTCACACAAGTACTTTACTTTTGATACATACAGTTAACTATAAGACATTATTTTTACATTGTGGTAATGGTGCCATGGATTTGAATACTTTGATCTCATCTTTTGATTGTATTTTATTGTTATAAGGCAATACAATTCTCTGATTTCCTCGTCTTTAGAGTGAAGCGAATGGTGTGAAAGCCAACGCTCCCTCAGAGGCAGCACAACCAGCAGCAGAATGGTATGTTTTATGTAATAATATTTTGCTTACACACACATACACACATGACTGAATGTACTGTATGTCCACCACATACCTTTCCATGTTTCCCAAGGTCACCACATAGTCCTTAAAACAATGGACCACAAAATTCTTGAACTCCAAATCATTCTTATCAAAAGCATTTAGTGCTGCAGCGGGACCTTTGTCTTGTTTGTGTGACCTTCAGGATGTGTTTCACCGCACACAGAATGCCTCAGTGGGGGGATATAACCCTGACTGCGTAAAAAATAATCTACCCCTGCTGCAGTTGATGGATATGCTATGCAGAGGCCATAATCTAAACATTTGTGCAAAGAGTTTGACAAAGTCCAGGCACAAGGCCCCCATCATATCCTGGTTATAAAGAGCGCCTGAGTGGAGCGCTCAAGTGAAGTGTCTAGATGCTCTGCGAGGAGACGAGAATAGTAATAACAAATGTGCAAAGTGCCTGCTCCATTTCTCCTCTTTGTACTCGCCATGTCTGTGACGGTGTCAGTGCTGCAGCTCGTCCGTTGTAAAACAAGGCCACAGTTTTGTGATGGAACCTCAATGTCCAATCCTCGCAGTTTTACAACGTCGCTCCGATTGTCTAACCCAAGGCTGACTGTTCTTTCCCATCCGAAACAATGCAGTGGAAAGAGTGTGTCGGAGCCGGAAAGTGAGCCGGCCAAGCCTCCAGTCAACTTAGAGGAGATCAGAGCCGAGATCAGAGCCGAGCTCAAGACAAAGATGGAGGAGGAGGTGTACAATAAAGGGTGAGACCTCCATCCTTCACACGAACACTCTGTGTGATGACACTGTTGTTGCTCAGCATAACTCACCACATGTATGATTAGTTTAGTTGTGGTTGTGCAGGTGTATATCATTGTAATGTATTGAAAGCCCCTTGAGATTTAGGGGGATACAAATACAAAACTGTAAAACGCATCAAGTCAATAACAGCATTATATAACATAACACACACTACAATTACACGATTAGGAAGTCTGAGACTTTCATTTATTTCTGCAGTAGGACATATTCATATTATTATATCCCTTAAATCTTGGTTACATTTGACTATTTCCTACTCAGTTACCAAGAGGGACTCAAGCAAAGCAAAGTGCTCCAGGAGGAAAAGCAGGAAGAGGAAAACGCTGCAGAGAAATTGCTTGAATCCAAAAATAAGGATGAAGAGAGCGGAAAGAAGAGAAGGACGAGCAGGTAAACTGAATCTGAAACTGTGCTGGAAGTGGCACATCACAACTCTCAGGTTTCATCCTTATTAGTATTTATGTGAATTGCTTAACCAAAGATATATATTTCTTCATTAGCCACTTGCAGAAAGCTCATGGTCACACACATGTCCTGTTGGTAAACATTAGTCAAAGTGACAGTGGAAACTATTTAACTTTTCAAGGAAAGGGTGAAATGAAATGTAACTGTCATGTTCTTTATGACAACACGTACAGTATATAATGGCCTTTACCAATCTTCAAATGTACAAATCACTTCTCAGTTTAAGTATAAGTATCTTTCCAACACATGGATCTCTTTGATGATTTACAGCCAGTTTGTTGCTGCAGTGAACCTTAAGATGCGTATCTGCCCTGTTTAACTGTTGACACTAGGAATTTGAATATCACAAGCATACTGTATGAGTTCATTATCTTCGCAGGAGGATGGAGGAGGTCCTGGTTCTTCTTGGTCGCTTTTGGCCCAAGTTTCCCTTGAGTCGGCGTCTTCTCTGGGTCGCCCTGACGCTGTTTGTGGGGATGTGCCTGGTTATCAGTATTTTTACCTTCTTCAGTGACTACTACAAAAGACGTGAGGACACGTAAGCAGGGACGAGATCTTTGGACTGAGTGTAGCAGAACAACCAAAGAACACCATCACAGAAAACCGAGGCGGTGATCCATCTGGCAGTTCACCATATCTTCACATTGGACTCACTTGAATCCATGACTCTGACTCTCGAGGGGCTAAGATGTTTTGGGAGGCTTTTTGGATCATGTTGACTCTATCTTAGTAAACGGCATTAAGTTATGATTTTATTTCAATTGAAAAACTGTCAGATTGTTTGACGCAGCGATAAAAAAGAGGAGTGTTGTTTAGGGACCAATTATACAGTGTGATAATATATATTTAAATTAGATTAATAAGTGAGAATATCGTCTGGTTTGGGTACTTTCCATTAATGCCGCTGTAGAAAAAGTGAATATTTGTATCTGCACTCTAATGTTTAAGTATATTCTCTCAGGTCCAATAGATAATAATGCCGCTGAGAGACTTTGAATTCATATTTAAAGATTTAGAAAGTAAAGGAATGTTTTTGTTCAATTTCTATAATGTGTATTTAAATACTTTAAAATAGCACATTCAAAAGTGCAATATTTTGCAGCTGATGGTCCACGTTGTGCCATCTTGTATTGTGTCTTCAGAGCACTGAAAGATGTTCTTTGATTAGACGGCATGAGTCTTATTCTTATCTTCTTTGCACATGTGTGCCTACCTGTGTTCTTTGTTCTTTGTGGATGTTATGCTCTGCCACTTCACCTTTTAAATAAAGGTGCCTGAAAGCAGATTGTATAGTGATTTCTAATGCGAGATATAATGTAGGATGCACCAAAGCAGATTGTCGCTAAATTCAATATTTTTCCATCACATTTTTTTGGGGAAAACATGATGTGCCTATGGCTACCTGCTGAATGTAAGTCTAATATTTACTCTATGTTTTGGTTATTTGTTTAGCAAGACCAAACCCAATTTAAAAAAACAAAAGTACTGCTAGAGCAGCTGCCCAATATACTAATGTACGGAAAGTCCCTCTTTCCTGTGTAATTATGGCTGCATTATGCAATAAAGGTTCACTTAGCCAATAAATAGCCCCTCCTACTGGTAATTACTGAATTTTGGATTATACCAGCAAGGCATACCATCTTTAAATTAGTCAGCATTTTTCATATTTCAAATTAGGAAAAGCACAGGTGTAAATAATCAAATGAATGATGGTCCTGATCCATTCTATGCCAATAATATTTTCTCCCTCACTAACATGTCTGTTCTTACTTTTCTTGACTCAGGAAACCATTTAATGTAATGTGATAAAACTCTAGAAGTTCATTATATGAACCAACAGAAACGCAAACGCCTTAAGAGAAGCTTAGCATCTGTGCTTTTCCGTTAAGCGCCCAGTTGTCATTTATTATGCCCTCATTGACACCTCACATCTTACAAAAACACTGCTGCGTGTTCGTAAGCACTGCGTCATTTCCTGCCGTCAGGGCCTGTGTGGAGATGTTTTTGTGGAAGTGGGATGTTGTCGTGTGCCAAAGGCTGATGAGAGGATACCAGAGATCAGAAGCATGTTCATGACTGAGCAATTCCCTCGGGAGGAAGTCATTAGGAGGGGGTGCCCAGTGTCAGATGTCAGAAACATTTCAAATGACCGAGGACAAGCTGTATTGTCACTTGAATCATACAAATAATGTAACACTTTTTCTTTCACTGAAAAACTTTAAGGCAAATAACAACTCTGTTTAGATCAGTATTGAATTACTCCTTGAACATACATTCACTGCATTCCTGTGGCTTTATCCCATGTTGACATATTAGTTTAATCTCTCTGTCTCCTGGGCCCTGCTCCTAGAACATATGATGGCTCTTGATGTGACCCATGAGAGGTACTTCCCTCTTCCTTTTCCTCTACTATCTGGCAAAGGGAGAGTCCACACACCCCAGTGGACAAAATCAGCCCTATTTAACCCTGTCATTTGGCTCAGAGGCGCATAAACCGTGCATCACTTTTCATCCCGCTGCATTCATCCAACTCAACTCTGACCGGTCATAAATATGATATGGCTCTGCTTCACATTAGTGTTGTCATTTACTTCAGTCATCTCTGATCAAAACATTGACTCAAGCCACATCAGAGGTAAGTTTTTCAAGCACTATTTACTCATTTGTCAAATGTGATTTTTAATAACTTCAATTCATGTGTTTCCAGTTTTTCCAGGGAAAGATCAAAGTGTTGCTGGAGTATTTCAGGTTAGTGACTTAAATTACCTGAACCAGCCTCAGTACTCCTACAATGCCTCTGATGCTCGGAGCCTCTGCTTGTCCCTCGGAGTGAACATCGCCTCAAAGGCACAAGTGCAGGAAGCTCTCACTCGAGGTCTCGAAACATGCAGGTGAGACCAGAGAAGAGTGATCACCTCAGTCATATAAGGTGAGTTTAATGAAAATTGCCTGATGTTCTGTTTATGTTTTTTCTCAGATTTGGATGGATTGATGAACATTTAGCAGTCGTTCCCCGCGTCAAGGCCCTTCCTAATTGTGGACAAAACAATACGGGCTTGGTGACATGGCGAGTCGATGTTAGAAAGAAGTTGGATGTGTTTTGTTTCAATGAATCAGGTAGGACATATTTGAATGTTTTCATTAAACATTTCACAGTGCTTTACGCCTAATAGAAAGAGACAACTGTTAATTGAAGATATCAATCATCCTCTCCTTCAAAAAATCATACATCAGAAGGTATTCACTTCCATTAGTGTCGATGAAAGGTCCTTTGCATAGGGACACAATTTACATTTGGACTGTATTCAACTTTATCTGCATTTTGAAGTATGAAAGCTTGTTGTTTGTATGTTGTCTTCTCCTGAATGTTGTACGTCTCTTGTTTGTTTTTTGTATTTTTGATGGCACCTTAAAAAAAGGAGTAGCCCTAGTCATCAGAATCACAAGCAGAATACCTTTATTAGTCCCACAGAGGGGAAAAATAATAGTAAAAAAAATACTTTTCAAAATGCAAATCCTGTAACATCTCATTGTACCTGTGACAATAAATGATTATATTCTATTCTATTCAGGGTTAATCTGCATTCTTTTTATCATCTTAAAAAACTTGTTTAATACCCGTCTCTTTACTTGTTATAACATTTATTCTCTTTGGGACGAATAAGGGCATTCTGANGCATAGGGACACAATTTACATTTGGACTGTATTCAACTTTATCTGCATTTTGAAGTATGAAAGACTTGTTGTTTGTATGTTGTCTTCTCCTGAATGTTGTACGTCTCTTGTTTGTTTTTTGTATTTTTGATGGCACCTTAAAAAAAGGAGTAGCCCTAGTCATCAGAATCACAAGCAGAATACCTTTATTAGTCCCACAGAGGGGAAATTTGCATCGTTACAGCAGGAAAGAGCCACAGACAGATTAATGTTACATATGTTGAAAAAGAAATACTAAGTTATGATATAATAAAAAATATAATAAAAAAATAATAGTAAAAAAAAACTTTTCAAAATGCAAATCCTGTAACATCTCATTGTACCTGTGACAATAAAGGATTATATTCTATTCTATTCAGGGTTAATCTGCATTCTTTTTATCATCTTACAAAACTTGTTTAATACCCGTCTCTTTACTTGTTATAACATTTATTCTCTTTGGGACGAATAAGGGCATTCTGATTCGGAAAATTCTTTGCTCCACAATTCATGATAATTAATTGTTAGATTAGATATTATAAAACAGTATAGGTTTGTTTAACCCTCCACAATTGTTCATAGACTAAACAAGACAAGACCCCTGTCCCCAAGGACATCGCTATCAGTACCTAGTTCCATAAGGGAGGCAGAAGGAATTTCTAGTCAACATACATTTATCAAATGGCATGCACTAACTCTTATCGTATCTCTCATGGTCTTCGTGTACATGCACAGATGCAGCTAAACAATTGAAGGATGCATTCGCTGATAGCCCTTCGGACAGGACGGATTTCTCGGGGCAAACTCAGTCTTCTTCTTCGAGAGCAGCAAGTTCAAGCCCGACCTCGCACTCTACGTCTTCTTCCATCCTTTCCTCTTCCTCCTCAACTCCTACCATAGATAACGAGGCAGAACCAGCCCCGTTTGTGGGCAGCTCACAAAGCTCTGCTGGAGGTACGAGCATTTTGTTCACAAGGGAATTAATACTATTGACGTGTTGAGTTCATACTATACTTTTTTATTTTGTATGTTATCTTCTCCTGAATGTTGTCCGTCTCTTTTGATGGCACCTTAAAAAGAGGAGTAGCTCTACTTTCTCATTGTTTCTGCATAATGACAATACATTATTCCATTCTAAATGTGATTGTGGTTGTTATGAATTACTTATATGTTTTCCCTTTTATGTTTTATCGTTCCAGCAAAGGCAATACTCATCACCTCAACTTGTGGCCTTTTCCTTATCGCAATAACCATCCTTGCATTCATAAAACTGTGAGTAGTTTTCCTCTGAGCAAACTCTTTAGAAAACTGAGGCTTAAAGAGAGATTTTTGGTGTTTTGATGATGCTCTCTGGGTTGAATGTGTCTTTAGTGAGCTCTACATACAATAGCATTACTCAAAGAAGCTACATTGTATATCATCCCTTAAAAGCATGGGATAAACTGATAAGACAAAGCATCCTTCTTTTGTATAACATTTTGGGTGGATCATATTAAATCATGTTTTTCCTTTGTTATTGTATACATCTGTAAGTGCATTGTATGATTTGTTTCTTTCCCTCTGTGAGAAGGAGAAGAAGTCGAGCAGTGAGCACAGACATTAAGCAGGCAGAAGAGTACATCCAGACGGTGGAGTGGACGTCTGAGGAGAAAACCGAGAAAACCGAGGAGGCTGCTCAGGAAGACGAGAGAATGGAAGATGAGAGAATAGAAGATGAGAGAATAGAAGATGAGAGAATGGAAGATGAGAGAATAGAAGTGGAAGAAAATGCAAGTTAAACATTTCTGATGAGATATCTTTAAGAAGCCCTCAGTGGACCTCTACCATGTAATAATCTTTTTTAGAACAACGATTGTCCCCTTGTTTTTTTTTTTAAAGTTCTGTGAAAGAGTGGCCTTTAAGGGTGTTTTATTTTGTAAATGTTATGTATGTGTGTGTTTTTTCAGCCCTCTGATGTTATTAAATGGTGCAGTTCAGCCACTAGATGTCAATGTGTGCTATGCAATCATTGTGAAGACTGAATACTTGTTATTCTTTTAGTATAGTGCTTTATATAACAAACACATGTGTTAATGCAGCATTTCAACAACAACTTCAAGCATTAAAAGGGTCTCTTTGGAAATCTCCCAAAAAAAAATATTGATATCTTTCCAAATCATTTTAAGAAAGGCTATTTAAGTGAGACAGAGGAAATGTACCAGACATCATCTGTTATCTCCCCAGAGTCTCCCCAAGCTTTGAGTAATGCTCTCTCAACCTTAAGTGTTCTCGTGTCTGATGTACAGTGTATACAGTAACTTAAAATAAATGTCAAGTGTACGTTTCTATGACATAACCCCCTTCATAAAATAAAGTGCAAGTTACAATTGCGTATACATAGTGGGCTTGGCCCTCAAACGGTTTTGTCTAAACTTTTGAGGACCAAGTGCCATGAGTCATCCAAAGCATGCTGCTAATCAACTTGTCACAGGCTAAGAATGGTTGTTGAATTGTAAGGATATTATAGTTTCATTTTATCATCACAGGTACTCTTTGGCCCTTTTCAAAATGAAGTTAAATGTGATTACTGAGAACTCAGCATGCTTGGAT